GTCCCAACATGGTTCAACATATAATTACCGGAAGCTAAAAGGGCAACCTTATCTAGTAAAAGAGGGCCTGGGTGTTTGCCAGACCATTGAGAAAACACTACAAACTCACTTTGCAGCCCATAATTGTCTACTTGTGACTTTTGATCTTGGGACGTTTCTGTTCCCATATATACATTCTGAAGTGTTCTTTCTACTGTGATTTCTAAAACCTGAAACTGGCACTTATAAGTACAATGTAATAAGGCCTCAGCTGATGCATTTCCCTGGCGTGTATTGTTACTTGCTAAGCAAGCCCAAGACAAAAGCAGTAGCTCCCACAAGCACTGTCAGCACATGCACACATTTTATGATTTCAACAGCATCAAGGTGGCCAAAGCCTGTGATTTCCCAGCAGATGGACTTGACTCACTTTCTGAATTAATAGTGTCCATGTCCAGAAGGAGAAATTACTCTATTGTTCTGTCTAGAAGCTATCAACTCCAATCCAAGGGCTGTGTTCTAAAAAGGAACTTATAAACTGAGTCTATATTTAACCAAGAGATCATTTCAGAGTGTCACTTAGGTAAACATAACCAAATCCTCAGTCTATATTTTTCAACCAGTATGTTAACAAAACTTTATCACCTTGTACTACATTGCTTTTGTATAAAAATTTCAAAGTGATTCATATACCATGAAACCTCTACCATAATAAAAAAGAAATTCTCCACAGTTCAGAGACTTGGAAATAGAGGCCAAATGAGGTATGTGACTGTAGTTCAGAGGCTAAAAACTGGTAGCAATAATGATACTAACAAACGATACTAACAATTAAAGCATTTTCACAATTATCTCAACCCAAGTCACTGCTCTGATTTTAAAACTTCCTTCTGTGTGACACAGTGTGAAACCTTCATTTAGAAGTCTAGATCCTGGCTCTTGGAAAATAATTTAAGTCTCTATGCCTAAATTTACCCATGAGGATAATACCTTCCTTACAGGATATTATAAAGATCAAGTAAGATAATAAATATGAAATCACTTTGTAAAATACAATGTGTTATATATGTGAAGGTTTTTCTAAACATTATGGCTTCATAGCATCCACAGTTCATTTACATTCTCATGAATTCCAAGGAGTTAGTATTAGCTTCCTTATTTTAACAGATGAGAAATCCAAAGATTAGAGATTAAGCCTTTTCCAAGGTCACACAGCAGCGGCAGAGGTAGAATTGCAGCACAAGACTATAAAGAAATTTAAAGCCTTGTTTTCTACTATCATGCTGCCTTGCTAGTTTTGTTATGTTAAATAATATGCAGACCCTTCACTCTTAACTCTCTGTGCAGTTAAGTTTTTTAAGTTATTTTCTGTGACACCAGTCCTAACTAAAAATCTGTCCTAACTAGCTTCATATAAGCTTTGGCACCTAGTGAGAACTCTTAAACTTTTATGTACCAGATACTCCATGTTACCAATGTTGAAGTGAATATTCTCTTTTATTCCTAGTCCAGCCTGGCCTGTAAAGACACTAAGTCTTGAGGGCTTTGTGAAAACAAAGTCTAATTCCGCCTGAACCAACTTACATATTACTGTTTTTGCTTCATCAACTATCACGAATGCAGATTGTGTTTGTTTTTAATCCTCCTCGCTAATACCTAAAAGTATGCCTATATCAGTATTATTTGTCTCTATCTGAGGAAAAGAATCAGATCCTGGTCCTACCTCTCTGACTATTCTTTCTTAGTTTCCTTTGGTGCGCATAAGGACCTCAGTCTACAGAGAGGAAAATTGTATGACTGGCCTATAACATCACCTGGATGAAGTATTCCTCAAAATGATACACCTCTCTTCTCTTTGTTTCCATGTTTAGCAAGCAACCATCTGATTACTAGCTTCATAAGCACTCTGGTGCAAGGGAAAGAGGGCCCCAGAGAGCAACGTAAGTATTCCAATCACAGGACATGTTCTCTATTACGAATTAATAAAATTGGTGTACTAATTGTTGCTTTTTTTCAACTTTCAATGACTAACTCCCCCACTGCCCACAGAATAAAGCCATTAAAGGACCTTTACAAGCTGGACTCTGGGTCCTTTACAGTATCATCTGCTCCCACAAAACTCCAGCCCTTTGGTCACAATCAGCTACTCTCATTCCTCAATCCCTCAATTCACTTTCACAGTTCAAGCCTTTGCACATGCTATTTATACCCTCTGCCTTCTCCCCACTCCACCCTCCTCCATCTGACTAACTCCCATTCATGGCTAAAGGCCCATTCAAGTGTCACCTTCCTTGTCAAACGTCCCAAAGAACCCCAAGTAGAGATACTCATCCCTCCTTTTGCTTCCACAGTACTTTATATATTCCTGTTCAAGTACTTACCACAGGATCATAATTACTTGCTTGCATATACATTTCTCTTGTCAGATGTGAATAACCAAGGGCAGGAACCAGATCTCATACATAAGTCTGGCATTTCCAGAGTCTAACACTGTGTTACCTCTAACAAATGTTTAATAATTGTTTGTTGGAGGATTGGAAGAATGAAGAACATACCCTGGCTCTGTTGATTGTTACCCACTCTGAAATGTTAGGATCCAGAGTTATTACTTGTACCTCTTCTTGCTCGCTGGTCAGGCTCTGAAAGAGCCTTTGGGATATTTAGGAAATAAGAGAGTGTTTATGCCCGTGCTGAATCACCTAATCCTGCCAAAACACTGCTCACTACCAACACACACGGAAATAGTTGCCAGGCACAAGTCTGGAAAATCCATGCTTGACAACCATTCCTAACACAGCTGCAATACCTACTGTTCCAGTGTCTTCGCACTGCAAATGATCACTTCCTTCCTCACCTTTGCCCCTCTGGGCAGTTTATGCAGCTAAAAACTTTAGCTTTCCTTCTGAACACAAAAATCCTATTTCATTTTGAATGACGTAACTACAAATAATAGCAGAGAGAGAGAGAGAGAGAGAGATCTAGGCAATTTGGTGGCCAACCAATGAGAATCTAGAACCCCATTACCATCGATATGAATTCCTCCAAGTCTCCCCAAAACTAATTCCTGGCTTTATCCTCACAAACTACCTCCCCTGGTCACACTATTGATTCCAGCTTAGGCAAACAGTTCTCCTCCTAAGGCAGAAAGGGGATTTCCAAGTCTGGAAAATGCAGGAATTCCATACAGCAAAGTAACAAAGGCACAGATGCTAATTCACCAACTTCCCCGTGAGAATGGTGCAGAGGGGAAGAGAAATTCTGCACCTATTATAGAACAGCGGGCACAACGACCTCATACAGCTCAAGTTAATTTACTTTGGCCAACCATTTTGACTCATTCTTCCCCTTCAAGAGATCTGTGTCTGGGAAGGATCAAATTCCAATACACCTGATCAAAGTCCTTCAGAGGTCGGCCAAAGTGAGAGAAAGCTAAAAGGGCTGAACAATGAGGCCTCCCCTCCAACAAGCCCTACTTGCCTCTCCTTTACTAGTTTCATTTGCTAGAAATCCAACTTCCTTTCAGCTGGAGGCCATCAGCAATATGATACAGTGAGGTACTGAGATTTCTTCACCTATTTTTGTTTTAATTCTGCTGGTTTTTAAAGCTCTCACAGTCCAAGACAGGCCCAGAGTGCCCTCCCTCTGAAGAGCGCAGTGTTGCTCAAAAAAAGCAAAGGGAACTTAATGGAACCATTCACTTAGCAGCGTTTTTTCAATGAAGTTCAGCAGCACAATCTAAACTCTTTGTGCTCTGAAATGAACCACATTTCTTAAAAGAAAGACCACAGGGGTTTGACAGAAAACTTGCTGCAGGCAGGAAAACCTGGACAGCTTACAGGAGCTGATGTAGAAGGGAACAAGAACTACTAAGCAGGTCCATTTTAGCATTTCTCTCTCTCTCTCTCCCTCTTTTCTGCTGCATTCCCAAGCAGAAGTCTAATACCACATGGGGGAAAAAAGGAACATTTTACAGCTTCTTCATTAGTTTCCCTTCACTGGATATGTGTCGTAAACAAGTATGCTGGACTCAGTAGAAGGGCTGAAGTTTCCTCTCCTTACAATGAAAAAGAACTAAAGACCCAATGACAAATAAAATAGGAGAAAGTGCTGCCTATGTAGTTTCTGGGAAAACCTCCATGTCTGTGGAAAGCTCAAGTGCCTCACAAGCAAAACCCCAGAACTGAATGTTAAAGATCAAAGCAGGGGCCTCCCAAGGCCACGCATCCCTCGCTCTCACTAAAAGGGCACCTACAGCAGTTCGGGAAATGCCCGCCACAGACCCTCTGGCCTGTCAAAACTTTCTCTGTATACCCCCCAAAGTTTGGATGAGGCATTAACCTGCAGAACTGTTTAGCAAGCGAGCCTCCAGAGGCTGAAATCCGAGCTCCAAGACAAATCTTTATTTTTGAGGGAAAAAAAGCAGCAGACCCCTGCCTCACTCGGGCTCGAAGCCCAAGGGGGGTGGGGGTGGAAGGAGGCCTCGCCACCAAAACTGCACACTCACTGACACCCCCGGCCCCCGCGAAACAGAGGTGGTTCACAACCTCGGCCACCACGCGACTGAGCCGAGACTAAGGGAGACAAAAGGGGGCGAGGGACCCTCGGCGGGCGGGCAGACGTCCCAGCCTCGTCCAGGGAGGAGCCGCACGGGAAGCAGAATGGGTGGCTTCGCTCTCGCCCAGCCCCTCCTCCTCCCCAGCAACTCCCCACGGCATTAGGTGTCCAAAGCCGGCTCCGCGTCTCCCCTCCTTCCAGCTGGAGCCAGGTAGGAGGGCAAATAATGTAACTGGTGATATGAAAAGCGCCGTCTGCTGCAGGAGCCGGTTCCAGAGGCTTATCTCAACTCTGTACATAAACTGGCCCCGAGAAACAGCAGCTCCGAGGCCAGCGCCGACGCCGGGAGGGCGCGACCCCGCCCGGCCGCCCCACCTGCAGCGGGCCGGGCGGAAGGCCACGCCGCGCCGGCCCGCGGGCTCCCGCTCCTGCCGAATCCCCGGCGCCGGCCGTGGCGCCGGCCGTACCTTTGTAGCGCTCCAGCACATCCTCGTAAGCCTGCACGAACTCCTTCTCCTGGCTGCGGTTGGCCGGCTGCTGACCCGGCACGTAGCCGGCCATGGCCGCCCGCGCAGCACTCTCCGCCGGACGCCGGTTCCAGGCCCGCGCGCTCAGGCGGCGGCGGCCGCGGCCCCAGCCCCGGCCCTTTGTGCGGTCGGGGGCGGGGGCGGCGGCGCCCTAGCTCCCCGCTCTCCTCGCGCCTCGCCCGGCCCGGTAGTCGCGCTCCGCTCCTCAGCCGGCTCGCACCGGCCGCTCGCGACCCGCCAGCCCGGCTCCCGTTTCCGCCTCCCCACCCCTCGGCTCCGCTCCTCCCTCAGCCCGCCCCGGCGGCGGCGGCGGCGGCTCCTCCTGTCAGGAGCGCCGGGCCCGGCCCGTTCCCCGCCCCTCTCCCGCCGCCTCCGCGGCCCGGCGCGTCCTCCAACCCGGGGCTGCGGCCGACAGGGCCTGAACTGCCCACCCGGGCCCCCAGGTGGCTGCGGACCACTGCCGGCCGCGACCGGGGCCCCGGGCCGAGGGGGGCACGCGGCGGGCCCGCGCCGGGGTGTGATGCGGAGTCGGGCCAGGAGCGAGGCCCCCCGCGGTCAGGGTGAAAGGCCGGGTCGGCCTCAGCGGCAGGGAGACCGCGGGACCCACTCCACAGGGTGCGCGTGCAGCCCCATTCGGCGCTGACCTACACCGGGGCTAGGACAAAGGAGGGGCCCCTGGCTGGAGAGACCCCGAGCTGGGCCTGTGCGGCTGCTGGACAACAACCCGGAGAGGCTGAAGGGAAGGGAGAGGGCAGACGACCTAGCAGCTCCCAGGCTGGCCGCGGTCAGAATGAGGCCAGGGCTGCAGTGCGAGGGAGGCCACAGGCAACACAGAGACCACAAAGAATCCCAGAAACAAAGGGTTTTCCAGAAACGGAAGAAACTGAACTCGAATAAGAGGGCAGACCAAGCACCGTGAAGTAAACCAGGCCAAGGATGGGGAGCCAGGGGCTGAGAAATGACAGCCGAGGGAGGAATGGAAACAGGGCTCCAACTGCACCATGGGGTGAATAAGAGGAGAGGCAGGAGGACATAAATCTATAGAGGAAAGACCCAATAGGAGTATTACACAGTGACAGACGGACAGACAGACTTAGAACAAAAGGTAGAAATGCGGGAACCTGAAACTAAACTAGGACTGTTACGAACAAAGAAAAGGATTCTGGAGGCTAACTGGTCAGGAAGGAACAGAGGAAAGGAACGTGTGGACAGGAAACTCACAAATATAGGTAGGCATTCATTAGGGACCATTTTGAGGTGGGAGTCAGTCCCCAACGCCGTCTCATCCTCCATTCAACTGTGTATCCTTCAACCCCAATATTCATAGCCTGCAACTGTGCTGGGGCCAAGACCTGTGAGGGAGGAACTCAGGCAAATGCAGGTGATCTTTTTGCCCCATCTACCCCCATCCAGCCGTTATCCTTCCCAGCTTCAAGTCTATTAACTTGACTTTTCAGGGGGTGGAGAGGTGGTTGTGGGTAAAAAGACTGGCTGATCTCACAACAGCAACATATTAGCGAGTAAAGAAAGAGTTCATGAAACATTGAGCGGCCAGAATTGGGACTTGGGTTCCCATTTGAGTTCCCATTCTCAGGATTTTTAAAGAGGAGCTTCCTATCCCCGGGACAAGGTCTGCATCATTATAAGCTAGGAGTAATGCCAAGTATTTAGTGAATGCTCAGCATATTAATACCAAGGAAAAATGATGTTTGTCACTAATAAGTGCACATCAGTTGTTTCCACATCACACCATGATTAGAAATTGGGTGAGCAAAGCATTAATCATATTTTTTACCATCAAGTTTTGCTGGCCTGCCCAAATGCTAGGTACAAAGATCATAAAGGGAAGGGCCTCAAACAGAACAGACAGGGAGGATCCTTGGACAAATGTTCATTCTCTTCCAATTTAATCCTTTGTGCTTAAAAAAAGCTAATTTTCAGCTTGGAGTCAGCTGCTAATGAGCTCAGTTTAAGAAAGGAGAACAAGCTTGAGATTTATTCTTTTTAAAATAAATACAAGACTTTAGTAGAAAATGCAGGACAAAGGAGTTGGTGATTGATGGCATAAGCACAGTTTTCGTAAACAGCAGAGGATATAGAAATGCTCACTCTGGGGATCTTGACTGTGACGGTGCTGAGTCATCTGTGTTTCCTATATTATAGCAGTAGGGCTAAGAAGGCCCAGACACAAATACATATACACATGCATTTGCACCCTCACCCACAAACAGACATCTGCCTCATTTTTCTTACAGTAAATAGGGAAGTCCCTCAATACCCTCCTGGGACTGCTACACGTGGCACTTTGTGAGCAGGTTCCTCAAGAACTGTGACTGAGGCTCCCCAAAGTTGAGCAAAGACAAGGGCAAGAGAGGAAAGAGTCTGTTCTGGGAATTACGCTTTGTTGAAGCCGTTGGGAGGGGTGGGGAGTGCCAGGGGAGGGAAGTTAGAGATTCCTATTAAGAAACACAGTAATCAAGGAAGAAAGTTCTGGTTTGGGTTGTGGCTAGAGGACTTAGCAGTCTCAAGTAGCTTTCTTGACAAGATTTGCATTTAAATGCTTCCATGAGATTTTGAAGTAAAGCATTCTTCTAATGAATGAAAAGGGGGAAGTCCACATGTTTAGCTGATGTTCCTGTTTTATACAGAGACAATTTTACAAGGATAGAGGAACAAAGCAGCTGCTGGGGGGATGGGAAGAAGGGAGCCTATGAAAGCGTGGTTTTGTATTTTTTCCAAGCAACAGTCTAAATTTACGGCCAGACCACACAATCAGAACAGCTCTGAGGCTTTCTCCTTTTGGTCTGTGATTCTCCTTTGCTCCTGATGGTGAGACTGCTGTTGCGTTTAAGGAGACTGCAATGGGGAAGCAGGAGGCAGGATGTACTCAGAAGGGCATCTAGTGGGGGGAAAGGGTAATATAAGGAAATAAAGCCCTGTTTTTCCTCAGTGTCCTCCCCTTAAGCCTCCAGTGCCTTCTCCCCTTAAGGCCCAGACACTTTCAACTTCTTTCAGCAACTCAAACAAGCTCTCTTGCCTCAGGGCCTTCCCACCTGCTTTTCTCCCTGGCTGTAACCCTTCATTGCTCTCTTTTTTTGGCCTAGCTGATTGCTACTCACACCTCTGCTGAAACTCCTGCAGGAAGCGTACCTTGATCCCCAGATTAGCAGGTACTCCCCATTCCGTCTACTCCCCTTTGGTAATATCCATCACTCTTGAAATTAGAAGTTCAGTGTCTTTTATCCTTACTAAATCATTAGCTCCCTGATGACTGGGGCTGTTGCTTGTCTTGTTCACTACAGGATCCTTAGCATCCAGCAAATGACCTGGCACATAAAGGGCACTCATTAAATATTTGCTTAAAAATTTGATTAAATGTATGAATAAGTGAACCAGATGATCGTAAAACACTCAGCTGCCTGTGGCTTCTGACAAGCTAGAAGCTATGGTATTGAAGAAGCAAGTAGGCTTGTCTCTCACAGCATCCCTTATCTGTGCCTGGCATTCAAATCCCTCCACATTTTCACGTCTCCTTTATAAGCTGATCTCCCGTGATAACCTTGTGTGTAGCATCTGCCCTATCATCAAACTCTGAGCCTTTACCTGCAATGTCCTCCACCTACCAGCTCCACCTATCCATCTTGAAAGTTCACCCAAAATGACTTGAAGTTATTTTTAACACGCATAAAAGAGGCTCCTCTCCTCAAAATCCTAACCGAATTTTCTTTCACCCATTTCTGGGTCTCCAACCACACATATTGCATCACTGCCTGCTCAATCTCCTGGTTCATAAAGTCTGTGAGGCAGAGACATCTATTTATCTTTCTTCACTGTAGGACTGAACACAATGCTTTGTGCCTAGTAGGGGTTCAATAAATATTTGCTAAAGGCATGGATAAATCACTGAAGACATATGGGAGTGGGAATGTGGGCTAGATCTGTAATTCAGGACAATGGAGAATCCAATTCAGTGTCCACTCAGTGGCTGAAGGAACTTCACATGCAGAAAGGAAAGAGCAAAATGAAAAATTATTTCTCCTGCTAGCGCTCTGCCTCCAACCTCTAGAAAGTTTACTCCCAGCACTTCTTCAGCTTGGCTCATGCTGCATTATTTTACACATGTTAATGATGCTTTAAAAATAAATTCTTTGCTAGTAGGATATGTGTTTGAGTGTGTCTGTGTCTGTGTCTGTGTCCCTCTGCTCCTCCTTGCAGAGGTAAACTATCTCTTGCACCTTTTATACTCCACAAAGTAGCTGGAGCCAGACACTGAAGGGGCTCCCAGGGGCTCTCCTTCAAGCCTTATCCTTAGCCAGCTCTTGGAAGAAAATCATCTAGTCTCAGGACACCTGCCTCCAGGTGGAGCCCCACCAGCCTTTCAGACACCACTTTGGTTAATCCCACCAAAGCTCCCTTTCTGCCCAGCCCCTGTAAACACTAAGCTTTGCCTCAAATTCCCAAATCAGTTCAGGAGTTAAAAGGCCTTTGCCCACTATCATGCTGCCCTCTTCTGTTCAGAAACTGCAACATCACTAATTTAAGAAGCCTGGATGGTGCCAGCCACCCAGGAAGGAAGACAAGATCCCTGCCACCCTGCAGCCAGTCACCATAGCAACCCTCAAAATGGTTACTCAGCCATCTGGGTTACCATAGCAACTGGCCAAGTCTCTCCACCTCAGCCTCTCCCTAGGCCTTCTCCCCTGGCTTGTCAGAGCCAATGCTAAAGAATCTTCAATCCTAACTGGGGGAAATGAGCAGAAGCTGGACCCCTGATAGGCAACTATCCCAAAGGGGCATGGAATGCCTTACCCATCTGGGGCCTCCCACAGTGTTAAGGCTCTCTGTCAATTTCCAAGAGTTGCACAGATGTTAGCTGTTATTAAACTACTGTTCCATGTAATGTAGGGGTCAGTGGGTCATCCTAGGCAAAGCTCGTGCCATTCCCAAAACTTGGCCCCTTACCGGCTGGGAGACCTTGAGCAAGTTACTGAACTTGGGTTTCTGTTTCTTCTACTATAGCACATTTGTGTCCTAAAGTTGTCCTGAGGATTAGGTCAAACAAAGCATGTAAGATTCCAAGCACAAAGCCTGGCATTTGGAACATATCAATAGTAGTGAGAAAAGGTATTGGCCAAAATTGCTATCTCCCAGCCTCTCTGTGAATATAACCATTTTATTTTCTCTCTTGAAGGAATGAAGCTGATATGAACCCCATTCACTCAACCACACCCAATCTCTTCCCTTC